ACCCACCCCTCTTGAGGACCAAATCAGGGCATTCTCCTCCAGGAAACCTTTCCTGGGTGCCACCAGCCCCTGACCTCCATCTCCTCTGGCCCACAGAGCCTGTTCTTCTCTCTGTACCCCTCCCTTGGGTAGTCCTGTGGCTCTCTGAGTCAGTCTCTTTGCCCAAGCAACACATGACCACTCTACGGACAGCAAGGGAGATGCTGCACCTCCTGCCTGCCACCACCCCCCCCCCCCCCAGCCCCTCTGGAGTCTAGGCAGGGCATTCACTTCACAGAGCTGTTTAATTTAGAGGGCAGGACTCTTGGTGGAGAGAGTCCATCATAGATGGTAGCTCTGTTTTCATCTTGGTCTCCTTATAACCTTGAAGAAACCACAGCCTACTTTCCTCCCAGCCTAGGTCCAGGTCCATAGCCAGCTCTGAATTCCCAGCACCATCTGCTTCCTGCCTTGCAAGTGCCCCTCCATCCCCAAAGCTACTACCCACCTTACAGATCAGCATACCCAACTTGGATTATTTTATGTTTCCTTTCTATTTTCTATTTTCTCCTATGTGAGGCTCCTTGGGCCTGGAAGACATTTATCCATCTGTTGCTGTTGCTGTTCTGAGGCTTCTCACTTGGAGTGACTTTGGTCTCTCTAACCAGACAGTGAGTTCTTTGCAGGCCTTTCTCTCCTGCTTCCAGTGGGAAATGAGAAGGGCTGCATGAATGCAAGAACAACTGAGTGGTGATGCCTCCAAGCCAAGCAGCACAGACTGGGGAGGCTGGGTGGATGCATGTGTTCTGAACTTCCTGTTCTCTTCCACAACCTTGAACTCCTTTCCAGAGAATGAAGCACAGATGAATGAACAGTGTTGATTCCTTGCCTTAGTCAGATTGGCCATTGGTATCTGCAGTCTTCACCCTGAGCACTTACTGCTGTGAAAGTGCTGGTGGATGAGGAGGGACCAGATCACCAGATGCCTACTCTCCAGAAGGTCACCATCTACTTGGACAGAGAGGGTCCACAACCTGGAGAGCCACAGCAAGCCTGAGGGTGTGCTGCCACACCCAGGGCCTGGGGTGCCGGTCATGTGATGTCAGAAAGAAGGATGAGTGGTTCACCTGGAGGGAGACTGAGCTCGAAGAGGCCTCCTTCCCTCTTGGAAGGAAGACACAAGAGGCAAAGGCAGTGAGGGATCACAAGGTAATGATGACACCTGAGTTCCTAACCTGCCTGACCCAATATCTTATGGGGCTTTCTGAGGACCCCAGAAATGAATCGGCAAATAAATGTAAGCCCCAAGCCCCTGGAAAAAATGAGAAGCAATTGTTCCCAGTTCCCACTCCCACTTGTCCTCTTCTCTCTCTCTCTCTCTCTCTCTCTCTCTCTCTCTCTCTCTCTCTCTCAGTGGATGGAATAATTGTACCCATGAAGTGGTACTTGGAGAAAAAGTTTTAAATCTACTTAAATGTCATAGTAATACTTTGCCCCATCTTTCCCTAATTACATTTCTCTTTGATGATCTAAGGTTAAAGAAAAAAAATTTAACTCAAGTCTTCCTAGAATATCAAGGGCAAGGAAACCAAAGAACCGACCTTACTATGTTCCGTACTATTTTCTCCAGGGTCCTGCTCCTTTATTGCATTCATGCAAGACACCTATCTGTGTTATTTTATCCCTGACACTGCTGCATTGAAGAGATGGGAGCCTAAGAGACCCAGCTCTGTGCCTTTAAGAGATCACTGCCTAGGCAGAAGCTGCCTCTGCTGTTGTTTACACAGGTAGCTCAGTTATCTTAGGACTGGTACCCCGGCTGCTCTGGCCTCAACAAGCTGGGAGGAGGTGCTCGGTTCATGTACACCTGCCAAAAAGCTGAGAGGTGAGGGCTGTGCTACACCCTAAGGGGAATGGCCCAAATCCAAAATGAGTCATCACCAGGTGGGCTGTCAGGGAGGAGGGGAAGCTTGCCTGAGGAAGAAGGTGCTCTCCTCGGCCTTGGGTTCACATAGAAAGGGACACAGCCCAGAGGAGCAGTTCTGGAGGAAGCTAGCAAGATGCAGCATGGGCATTTGAAATAACCAGGTGCCCCTCTCCGTTAGCAACCCCACTCCATAATCACACCTGCCCAGGGACAGTTTTTACTTATGTATTGGTTATTGGTAATAATAATAATAAATATGAATAATTAAACAATTGTGAGTAATTTACCTGGATGTGGGGTTTGACTGGGGTGGTGCAAGGAAAAAGAGGGTGAACCCGGCAGCCCTTTCCTGAGCTGCCCTAGCCTTTTCCACTGCCCTGACTTTCCATTGTTATGGTTTTGCTCTAGGAGGGTGGGAAGAGGGAGAAGGAGAGACCTCAAGTGGGAACACTCTCCTTAACTCCCCTGTGAGGGCAGAAAGTACATTCACTCAGCTTGAAATCCAGGGAGCCCAGCACCAGAGCTGCAAGGCAATGTTGGAGGAAATATTTTGGAGAATTAACATTGCTGATGTGTCTGGGGTGAGGGTGGGGGTTGGGTTCAACCTGGTAGGTACACACACACACACACACACACACACACGAAGGGAATGAATACCAAGAGGATCTGTGCACAGGTCCAGGCTGTATCCACAACAGCACACACAGTCAGGTCGGGACTAAACATGCACACACCTCCTGCCCAACACACAAACCCATCAGGTGCTTACCAGAACCAGGATGTGCCCACTTTATTACAGCACCTCACAGGCACCCCAAGCACAAGCCATAGCAGGCAGATTCTGTAAGTTTCTGTTCCATTCCATCCACTCGGGCAATTTCTACACCAACATAAAATACTGAGTAATGTAAGCCCAGGAATCCTAGTCAAAATCAACTATACTTACAATTCCATCAAGCAAAGGCAGAAGAATCTAAAATGAAAGGAAGAAGTTCCACAGTTCTTAGAACCTTACTTGCGCTTTGATTTGGGCTCCCATCCTTCGAGGGAAGCTGGGGGTCTGAGGTGAACCTTGAACCTCTGGGCTGGGAATCTCAGGGCCTCCCTCGGGCCTCCTCTGGCGCTGGAGAGTACCGCGTTGTGGTTGTACCACGCCGGCTTAGCCTGGGTTTACAGGCTGCTGGGGTCTCGTTTCTTTAAATAAATGCTACAACATATCGTGTAGTAACGTGATGTAATTCGAGGGTAAGAGTAGAGAAGCCCTGAGCACCTGATGGCCAGCCTGGGACCCTCCGGGTTAGGCCGGCAGCTCAGCCCCGCCGTCCCAGCTCTAGCCCCACGGGCAAGCAGCGCGTGATTTTAATTGGCCCGACTTCTGAAGCTGGGAAAAGCAGTCCTGAAAAGGCAAATGCGAGAGAGGACGGGGTGCAGGTAAACACCATTAAAATGAAAATCTGCTGCCCCAGACAAGTTCACCACCAGTATTCGCCCCCAGAGGCGGGGCTGCTCCAACCGGCTCCCACGCGTGCCACTCCCTCTCGAGCGCAGCGGCGGTCCCAGCCCAGGCAGACCCGCAGGGGAGTCCGGCGGGCAGCGGCCGGGCGGCTGCCCCTCTGGCTTCAGCCAGCAGACGCGACTCCCTGCCTCGCACCTCTGGATCTGGGGTGCAGCAAAGGAAACCCGCGGGCTCAGTGCACGCAGTGCGAGTCTGGGTCCGGCTGCAGTCCAGAGAACCATTCAGGGCTTTATTTCTTTGATGAAGAATTAAGAAAAAGAAAATTTTCCCCAATTTTAACCAGTGAAGCAAACGCGGGGGATAATTCAAGCCACTGCCCCCGCGCTGGCTCACCGGACTCGGCGCCCAGCGCGTTCTCCCTCCTCGGCGGGCCGGGTGCAGGCTTCCACCTTCCTCCCGCCAGCCGCTGGCCGAAGCGGCCGCCGCTCTCCAGGACGGGGGAAGCGGAGCGGGACCGCAACATCCACCTCCCGCCTTCGGAGGAACCTGGGACGGAGCACGGAGCCCAAATCTCTGTCCTCAGCCCGACCGGTACAACGCAACTGCCGCCCAGCCCCATCTTCCCAGGTGGCTCGGGTGGCCGTAGCTGCCCGGTGGGAGGAAGATTTGGGGCCGCTCTCGCAGGTTGGGGAAGCGAGGAGGTAAAAGGCAAAGACAGACGGAGGGAGAAACGGGGAGAGCGCGCGCGGGCGAGAGAGCTCTTGTCTATAGATTTATCCACATAATATATATTTATGTAGCTTTTTTTCTCCCGACACTGATCAATGCTCCCTCGGATCGCTGGGCGGACTCCCGCCAAGCCTGCCCGCCTTTTCTAGTCTAAATAAATAAATAAATGGAGCCAGATGGGAGAGAAAAGCGCCCATTCCACCTCCGCCGCCGCCGCCTTCGCCGCTGCCCCGCCCGCCGTTCCTGCCTTCGCTTCGCCCGCCTGTCGCCCCAATGGAGTGCAGCTCGGTGGATAACCTCCCCCCCGCGCATATCCGCACGAAAACGAAAATCAATGCTTTTAAAATACAAAAAGTTGCACCTGCTGCTATTACAAAAAGAACCCCCAAAGGGCAACGAGAGGAGGCCGACTGCCCGGTTCCTAACGGGCACCCGCTGCCCACGGCCGCCCGGCCCGGAATCTCAGCGCCTCCCGAAGAGCCATGCGCCTGGCGCTATTTATAGCCGGGGGCCGTCTCGGACTGTACCACCGCCGCTCCGCGGGGCCGCCGACGGGGGGAGGCGCGGCGAGGCCGGCGCCGCCCCACGCTGCCCTGCCCCCGGCCGCCGCCCGCCGTGGTGCGGGCTCCCCCCCGCAGCGCGCCCACTCCCGGCTCCGGCGCTCCCAGCTCAGCGCGCGCGCGCGCTGGTCGCCCCCACCCCTGGTCTGGCTGGGAACTTGAACTGGTCCAGCCTGTTTAAACGGAAAGGACAGAGATCCTGTCTGTTCAATGTAAAAAAAAAAAAAAAAAAAAAAAAATCAGATCAGACCGAGAGAGAGAGAGAGAGAGAGAGAGAGAGAGAGAGAGAGAGAGAACGAGAGGAGAGCGCGAGCGAGCGAAGAGAGGAGAGAGAGAGAGAGAGAGAGAGAGAGAGAGAACGAGAGAGCGAGGTGTAGAGAAACCGAGGGGGAGAGAACCCGAGTGTGTGTATGCGTGTGCGTGTGTGAGCGCGAGCGAGCGAGTGAGGGAGAGGAGCGAGAGAGTGCGAGCTAGAAAGAATAAAAGGAAAGAAGATTTTCTCTATGTATATAAAGATGGCCACGTTAGCAAACGGACAGGCTGACAACGCGAGCCTCAGTACCAACGGGCTCGGCAGCAGCCCGGGCAGCGCCGGGCACATGAACGGATTAAGCCACAGCCCGGGGAACCCGTCGACCATTCCCATGAAGGACCACGATGCCATCAAGCTGTTCATTGGGCAGATCCCCCGAAACCTGGATGAGAAGGACCTCAAGCCCCTCTTCGAGGAGTTCGGCAAGATCTACGAGCTCACGGTTCTGAAGGACAGGTTCACAGGCATGCACAAAGGTGAGTGCACCTTTCCCTCCCAACTTTGCCGGGGAGAAGGAGCGGGCGGGCCGCCGAGCGGCGGGCCGGCAACTGGCGAGCGAGCGGGAGACGGGGCGAGAGGGAGCCGCGGGCAGGCGCCGTGGAGGGAGGCGCTCGGCAGCGGAGACCAGCGCTGGGGTGCGTGGGGCAAGGCTGGGTTTTGGTCGAAGAGCTGATAGGAGCAGTGCCATGGGTAGAGCAGCGGGCGCAGAAGATGAAGAGAAAGAACGAGAGGATGGAGGGGGAAATGGGACTCGTGTTTTGGGTACAGCGACTTGAGGGACTGGGATAGGGACAGCAGCACCCGGCAAGCCCAAGAAGCTGAGCGGAGTGGAAGGCGCTCCGGCCGGCTGGGGAGCGAGGGAGCTGTCCGTCGCGGTGGTGCTGAAAATACTACAGGAGATGGTCTCTTCATCCTCCGCTGGGGCCAGAGTAGCAGGAGAGCTCAACCGTCTAAAAGGGGAGAGAGGTGACAAATTCAAAGAGATATTTTTATTTTGCTATCAATTTAACAGTAAACTCTCCTTGTCGAGCTGTGAGCCTCAATAATCTGGTTGTGGTGTGAGTGACAGTGTGGGGAGTGGGGGGAAGGGGGTGGTTTGAATGTTTGAAGGAAGGAGTGATAAAACCTAAGGCAAGCATTAGCAAGGAACCAGACATCCCCTGGGTAGAGTGGGGATCTGGGGAACCTGCATAGTCCCCTTCCCGGGAAAACTGGGCTTTAGGGGGAAATATATGTGTGCAAGCCTTGCATTTTTAAGAGTGTACCCTAATTTATCCCAAACTCAGCATGCAGAGAGCCTTATAGTAGATCTCCCTTGAAGCAATCATTACTAGTGAGTGTTTGGGGGAGGGGTGGAGAGAATAATCAAAGAATTAAAACCCAACAACTTTTAAGAAAGTGGTCATAGGAATTGTCTGCAGCTTGCCTGTTTTCTCCTTGTTTTATTATCTTTGAGGCAGAGCCCCAAACGTGTTCAGTTGTAGAATGTGTGTGGGTGGCTGGTAGGTGACAAAATTAGCCCAGTGCTCCGCTCCCTAACAGTAATGTATAGGATGTGCAGCGGGGATTAATCGGTGCTGGAGCTGTGTGGGCAAGTTAAATGCTTTCTGAGAGAGATTGATCGCCAAGCAGGGAAGGAGCACGGGGATAAGGAAGTTGTAGGGGATGTGTATAGACGTTCCATTTTTAATAAACAGTAGTGTGGGGAGCCACTGAAGGTGTTGTGTTAGAGCTGGTGGTTTTAACGATGAAAACACACACATGTACACCCACCCCCATATAAAGAGAACAGCCTCATTCTTGGCCACAAATGGGCTAGCAACAGAGCTGATCCTCCAGCACATTAGGTGCAGAGCGCGGAGCTGTCTGGCTGTCTGAGCAGCAGTGGTTTTCACTACCACAATCACCCTCCTTCTCCAGCCCTCCCTTCATCCGAACACTAAACAGAGCTCCAAACTCTTCATAGTTGGAGTCCCAGAGAGCAGTTTTTATTGGCTTTAGCATCTTCCAGCTTGCCTGCTGAGGAGTAAATCTTAAAGTTAATGGCATGTTGAGTAGCACAAAAAACACAGCAGAATGGAAATATACTGGGTTTGTTGGGGTGGGGTAAGGGTGGGGGCTGTAAAGGAGATAGAAAGCAACCTTTATCCAATATGGAGAAAATATCTGTCTGTTAAGAGAAGAGATTGAAAAGGTGGAATGGGGAGGTAGTCTTTGAAATAATATTTGAAGGAAAGAAACACTTTCTTTCCCCCTCCCTCTCAACCATATCTTTGTAGATTTTCTCTTCCCAATCAAGCTCCCTAGAAGCTAATCAAGGCTTGTATCAAATCTTTGTCATTTTAATAGGTCCCTGGTTTTAAAAATAGTAATAATAAAATTTTAATAGCATAGTTAGAGATGGTTTTTGCCTACCTATGATCAGTTTTGTGGAAATTTAAGATTTTGAAGTTCAAAAAATCAGAACCCACTAGAAGCAAAATATAGCTGTGGAGAAGTGGATATCCTCTGAGAACTGGATTACAGCACTTTATTTACTTCTTTATTTCAAATGAGGATAAACTCTAGCAATATTCTTTGGTTTTTTAACAATTCCTTGCTGATATCATCACTTTGTTTCTAATGCAATTTTGTCTTTCTCATATTATAAGAAGTAAAATTTTAATCATTTGTATCAGGGAGAGAATATATATATATATATATATATATATATATATATATATATATATATATCCTAGGAACACAAAACTTCATTTTCCAAATAATTCTTATTCCAAACTGTCTCAGCCATCGACAGGCAGGGCCCGTTGGCTCCGGCATCCTGGTGCTCGTTGCAGCTCACCCTTCAGAGACTGAGCATACATTTTTGCTGAAAACTTCCTGCCTCTCCATCCTTCTGATTTTTAGAATTGAGATTGGCCACAATGTTCCTAGCCATGCCTGGAAGCTCCCCAAGAGTGAAATAAATGAGACCATTTCTAAGAGCTGGTTTATTCAGTCCTAGTAGAGTTTGAACTCCTCCTCCAATGATGCAGCCTGATTAATAAGATAATCCTGGTAGAATAAGCCTCTGACCACCTTAAAAATATAACTTGCTTGCCATTGGTGATTAACTATTGTTAAGTCAAAAAAGCATGATGAGGCTTGAAGAATGAGGGTTGCATTTGGCCTCTAGATTTCCCCATCTCTAAATTGACAACATAAGGCTAAGGATAGAATTATGCCTTTGTTAAGCCTGGTTTCAGGGCATATCTATGGTTCTTGCTCTCCCCTTTCTGGATTTACAACTTCTAGTGAATGATACTGGGGTAAAATTGAGACACGTAGAGAATACTGGCCCCTTGCATGGATAACATGTGTGTGTTACTGGTTTGTTAAACCAGGAAAAAGTAAATGAAATGCATGAAATTTCAAGTGGATATCCATTTGCTAGCCACCTGCCATTTCAGGTAACTAAAGAAGGAAGGAGTTCTAAGGGTTAATGGAATACCTGCCATGCGTAGAGTGCACCTTAAAAGGCAATTACTCCACTCAAATTGGGAGTCTGTGGAGGAGGGTGTGGGTGGGTTTTGTGGAGCAAACCCAGCCATATCTGAGAAGGGTTGTTGGGCTGGGAAACAGCAAATAGCAGCTGTGGGCCAGGGTAATTACTATAAAGGTAAATTTACCCCCCAGGAGACTAGCAAGCAATTGGGGGGACAGGGTCTGGGTATTAGGAAGATCAAAAAAATCAAAATTCAAAGAAACAGCACCCAAGGAATAGACATTAGTGTAATGCAAACTCTCTGACTAACTCAGAGTCCCTCCCTACCCCACCCCATTTGAAGCACTTTTGGAAAGATTGTTTTTCCAGGCTATAAAGAGAATGAAAGTGTGCTATTGATTAAAGAAGAGAGAAGCAAATTCCAGGGGTAGCAGCAGAAATGAGCTAAGGACCAATTTTGCCCTTTTCTGTGGAATTTTTCTTCCTTGGAGAAGGGACCAGGTCACTCACTAGTCTACTTCCCCTCTTCTTTCATTTTGTAGTTATTTCTATTTCCTTTTTTTATTTCTTGGAGGATAAAAAGAGTCAATGACTGAGGACACACATATTCACACATATAGTGATCCCTGCATACACGCACACACACGCACGCACGCACACAGAGTGGATCATGAATAAGCCAGCAATCCATTCATAACTTTGGTCTTGTCTAACAGGATAGGAGGCAGCAAAGACTGAGTTAGTGTGAAACATAAAGACTACTGCTCTCTGGATAGCCATATTATAATGCATTATCTTTGAAGTCATTTAAGCCCAATTTAAGTGGTATTTAGTATAATATTTATGAATTAATGTAATCTAAACATAGGGCTGTCCCCAAAGGTTTAAACAGCCTTTACAACTGATGTGTGCTTGTTCCCAGAGCCTGCAATGCATTTTAATCTAAACAGCCATGTCCCAATCATAGTCCCTCTTGTTATCCAGTTAAAACAGATCTGTGCCTGGATAACTACTCTGCTTTGAGATTTTCCCCACTGCATAGAGGGAAATTTATTCTACTGACAGGCTGGGGGCTCCCAACCCAGGAGCCACAGCTACAGGAGAGCCAGCCCTTCATACTTTCACACGACATCCAGAAGGAGGGTGGAGACAGAGTAATGAAACCTTCTGTGATTTAGCTCCGGAGAGTGTATCATTTTAAAATATACTCACCATCAGCTGCACAACCTCCCATTTCAACTGTACCTGAACAGGAAATGCCTAAAGCCTCTTGATTAGGGGTGTAACTGGGAAGAAGGAGGACAAGGATTATCATTATATTTGTTCATTTGTGGTCATCTTCATACAATTGTGTGTTATGTTTGCATGTAAGATGCAACAATTTTCAGAACACTGAATTTCCACCTTACGACTTAGCCGAAAGGGCTCATTCTTCCCCTCTGTAGATAGGTGACTTAAAACTGTGAGGCTCTATCTGATTTCTGTTTTCAAATGAGGCTAAGAGAGTGAGGCTGAAGTATCAGCATGGGTATCAGCTCAATTAAGATGAACTCTTTTTAATTACTTTGAAAAATACAAAGTCAGTTCTGTCCAGGGAAAGTGACTAGCTGAATGACTGGTTACATACCTATAATTTTTAAAAAGAAGGACTTACTTTGTCAGAAACAGGGGAAATAGAATAACCAGAAGAAGAAAACAGAAAAGCACTTTTAAAAATAAATTTCTCCAAAACTGAGCACCAGCCTTCATTATAAGACTAAAATGTACCAAAGCAATAGCCACCATCATAAACCTCCAAATTCCAAGTGTTGTGTCCTATTTGAAAGGATAGAAGAAAAAGTATTGAGAAATGATTTGTTTATTTAAGAAAATGGTAGATAATCACTACTTGTGCTCAATTTTCTTATCTTTGAAACAAAGTTTCTCAGAATCAACAAACAGATAAATTAGCATGCACATATCCACGTACATGCATCCATGTGCAGGCATGAC